AGCGATTCAATTAAAAACAATCTGGATAACACGAATTTCGAGAGAAAACCGTTGAAACATTGAATTAGAAAACATTTGTTTTGTGTCGAGGAAAAAAAAATTTTTTTTGAAAATTTTTATTAATAAATAATTTTATAAAGAAACAAATTTCAATTTGCTTTGAAGATTTGTTTTTAATTGTCAAATTGCTTCTTCCGAAAAAAATATTCTATTTTTTTAAATTTTCTGAAAAAATTCAAAACGAACCTATTTATATTTTTGGTCCTGATTTTTTAAGAAATTATTTTATCAGATCACACAAAATTTCAATTTAGTTTCCATTTTAGTTTTCATTTGCCTAAAAATATTTAAATTTCAAGAACGTTTGAAAGAATTTTTTAAAAACGATCGCCATTTTTTCCATTGTTTATCAAATTTCTTGTTAAAAAATTTTTGTGATTTTGCAATATATAGATACATAATAGTTATTGAAATTTATATATATAAAATTTTTTATTCAAATAATTCAGAAGTCATAATTATGTCATATATAAAGTAAATATTTGTTTTTAAGGATTTTGTATATAATCAAATTAATTCTATAATCGTTTAATTTTTAATAAATTGTTTTTAATAATATATATATATATATATATATATATATATATATATATATATAAAATATATATATATATATTATTTGTTATAATCAGTTTCATTTTGATGAATATATGTGTTCAATATTAATTTATATATAAGCATTTTAATTTTAAATTTAAAACATTCAAAAAAAATTTAAATAAATTTCTTTAACTTAGATTTTAAATATGGTTTCATGATTTTTACAACAATAATAAATATTTTTATTTGTACATCGTTTTAAGAAATTAAAATTGAAAAATGATTTCCTTTTTATAAAAGAAAAATTCAAATTGATATATATATATATATATATATATATATATATATATTGTAAATATATTTCTATATAAATTGAAATTATAACAATAAAAATTAAAATGTATAATATTTATAAATCTAGTAATTTTAAAGATTCTTGTCTATTTTTAATTTAAATATACAAGAATTTTTTATATATTTTTTTTAATTATAAAAAAATTCTTGATTATGAGCTCAAATTTTATGTAAAATTTATTTCAAAAACGTTATTTTTTGTTTAAAATAAATTTTCCTTTATATTTTTTTAAAAATAGACTAATAATTAAATTTTTAAGAATAGATAAACAAAATTTTATATTAAATTTTATATTATAATGTTATATCTAAATAAATATATATATTTATATATATATATATATATATATATATATTTATATAATAGTTCCAGTAATGTGTGGTAATTTTTTTTAATTAAATTATTCTTTTTTTTTTTTGTTTAGAACTAATTTCAAAAACAAAACATATCAATGATATTTAAAATATATTAAATTCACTTTTTGTAATTTTTTTTTTTTTTATGAGGGAACATGAAACAAACACCTAAAATCAACATAAATATATATATATATATATATATATATATATATATATATATATATTATATATCCATGAGAAAAATTTTTGAAGATGATAAATATGAATGGATGTGTTTTTTTTTGAAATTTAAATAATTTCAGGACATTGAGGTTTTGTATACAGACAAACAAAACAGAAATCGATTTGCTTGTTAAATATTTTTTACATTAATAATTATAATCGAAACTATACTTCATTTTTTTCCTTTTTTCCACAAAATATATTCCCATTTTAAAAAATTTTAAATTTCATATCTTACATATAAATAAATAATGTTTTGTTAAATTTATAAGCAAATGTATTTATTTTAAAATTAAAGATAGCATTTTTTTTGTCCTTTGAAAGAAAATGACAATAAAATGAAACAGAGGCAATATTTTTTGGATTTATTCTTTATTATTCTTTTTTTTTTGCATAACTAGAAATTGAAAACATCTATTAATTATTTAATTGTTCTTTTTAAATATTTTTTTGAATTTTTGAAATTTCAAAACTTATGGTATTTTGATCCATGAATTATACTGTTAAAAAAAAATTATTTTCCATATTTGTAGATGATAAAATCATCCATTAAAAATTAACGATTGAATTTAAAAATGTATATTTTATACTATTATATATATATGTATCATTTTAATGTATATATATATATATAAATATGTATATTAACCGGACGACGAAGTCCACCATAAATATCCAGGTTTCTCTTATATTCAATTTTTGCCCTTTTTGTTTTTAGGTAATTATTTTAAACTTATTGCAACAGAGAAAAAAAATATTTTATTATTCCGATAGTTCATATTAAAATGGTAATGTATGGTATATATATATATATATATATATATATATATATATATATATATATATATATATATATATATATATATATCTTGATTTCATGCTTTTATTGGTTAATGATCAATTTTTTAGATCATATAATATTGAACAGTTTGGTCTCAACCTTTCATATATATTTTTTCTATAT